CGAAAATCAAATCGATTACTGGAATCAGTGACGATATCCAGCATTACCCAGCATGCTGTGCAGCAGTGTCAGTTTGTAAATGTGCAATAATTCCTGCTGCAAACTGTTTCTGTTTCACATATTGCTGTGTGCCGTGACCTTTGACCTGCTAAAGAGAGTCAGCTGTGGATTATTCATTGTTGTGTCTGATACTTAGAACTGTGAGGAAGAACACTACACAGTTAATCAGGGTCCCCTCTCTCTGAATCAGGAAAGGTGGGCAGGCCGCGTGTGGGCCGCGGGCCATACGTTGAGTATCACTGTTTGAAATGTGAACATTGTTCTGCTGCAGTCAATGGACTAAACCAGAGAAGAAGAAAACAGACTTTACCATGAAGATCCTCAGTGTGGATCAGTATAATATCAGCCTGATGTCTGCAGTTTAGTGTCAGCACAACTTTCACATCATATTCATCTCAGCACAACTAAAACATGCTGACTGACCTCAGAGTTTCAAGTCCACATCCTGGACTCTCCAGGAAACCACACAGATGCTTCACTCCTGGATCATGTAGGTTGTTCCATCTCAGGTCCAGCTTTCTCAGATGGGAGGGGTTGGACTTCAGCGCTGCTGCCAGATAATCCCAGCAAATATCTAACACATAAAAGCCCTCCAATCTGTATAAAGAATGAAACGTGAGTTTATTAGACAAAGTGTGAGCTTGAAATCATTCAGTGTTTCATAATCTGTTTAGAGCTGAAGAAGGTTCAGAATCTAGAAGTTTAGAAAATGGAAACTCCAAACAGCTGAAGCCAACAGGAAGCAGCTTCAAACAAACACAACAAGAGAAAAAACTCTGAATGTTCCACATTAAAGTCATACAGTTATCATAAAAACAGTAAAATAAACTTGAAAAACTTGTGTTTTTTCTTCCAGTAACCACATTGCTTCACTTTTAAAGGTGAAGTGTGAAAGAAATGGACATATTTCTTTCACACTTTTTCCAGTCACCTTATTAAAGCAGACAAACTACAAGCTCATTTTCATTCCAACAAGTCATCTTCTGACCTGGACTAACAACACTGGTCTCTATGTGCAGCTGGCTGTGGGACCAGAATAGTAGTAGAGTACTTCTAAAAACACATATTCTCACTTAGCCTCACTAGCCCTGTATCGACCCCCACCAATGTTCCTTTAATACAACAACCCCTAAAATTAACATACTGTACATATACATACATAGTATAACATACTGCAACAGTAAGACTCGATGATTAGACAGAGGGGTTACACGTGGGGCCCCAACAGTCAGCAAAACAAGTCATAAAACAATAAAGGTTGTTTCCTTAACAAGAGCATCCAAGGACACACATCCCAACTGTACCTTTATAGTTTCCACCCTTTTTCTTTACATCCTGCTCTTTATCTCTGCATGTCAGAGGCCAACTGAAACAAAGTCCACCTATATAAAAATACCCCATCACACACACAGTATTTTCCTCGTCACTTCACAACTGGCGCAAGGTATATCGTTTTAACTTTTTCGGACCCCAGACAAAGCGGTGTGAGGTAGTTAGCACTGTCACGGTGCACATCCTTTAATTTGGCCATGTAGAAAGCATCGTTTGTTTGGAACACATCAGCAGAGAGGCAGAACTCATCTCTGTTCATAAGAGTTTAATTTAATCAAACCTCATTTTACGGATCTACGTGGCTCCTCATCACTAGCCGATTCATCATTTTATTTAAATATCTGAATTTTCGTGATGGTGATCTAAGCAGGACACAGAGGCTGCTAGTTTTAATGCACCAGAATGCCGCAAATATAAATAAAAGCCTGACTATCCCGAGAGCCTAGCCGCAGCAACACCTTTCTTTCAAAGGGATGCCTGCAGGTGCGTTGGAGCCGACTTTGCTACCTGCACAGAGCGTTTCTGACAGTCGGGCGTTGCTTATGCAATAGAGAGAAGCAACAATACAGCATGTTTCTCTGCTCTAAGACATCCGCAGTCCTTTCACATGGTAAGCATGTCTCTTATACCCAGCGCATAAATGTCTGTATGTCAGTGCTGATTATTCAAACCCTGTTAAAAATGTGACACATGTGTTGTCCAAAAACATTTCCTCTAAATTTGCAAAGTTACTGATTTAAAAAATATACTTTTGAATTTTAGTTGCATGTCAAACATCCAAACATATGTTTGATCTGATGTGTGTATGTGTGTGTGTGTCTGTGTGTTTTCTCAGATGCATTTCCATTTAGTTTTTTAAAAGAAGTGTAGCTCATACAATGGTATAAATGTATTCTTTGCGATTCTTTATAAATATGAAACTCTAAACATTTTGAGGTCATGCACATTGTGAAACAAGAATCATAATATTTGTGTCACAATGATTTCTATAAAAACATGTTGTTTATAAGATAAGATAAGATAAGATAAGATAAGATAACTCTTTATTGTCATTGCACAGTCATACATAGTACAGTAGTACAATGAAATTGGAAAACTGTCCTACGTCGGCACTATGGGGATAATGTGACAAATCTTTTGTGGACCCTATTAATGATCAATGGTAATTAAAGAGGAAGCTTGAACCCAGACTCTGGACGTATGTCTGTGAAGGTTCTCAGTCATCCAGGTCATTGTAGTCAAAGGAGCTTGCAAAGAAAAGCGTCTGGACTTCTTTAAGTTGCTTGAAGACATTTCACCTCTCATCCGAGAAGCTTCTTCAGTTCTAAGGTGAAATGGTGGGGAGTCCCAGATTTAAACCTAGTGGGAGTATCCCCACACAGAGGGACAAAAGGACCCCCTGATTCTTCTATCAATGCCCAGTGGGGAAACAGGTGGCACGGTCCCAATCCGCCGGTTTCGGACCGTTTGATGGAACTTAAGACACGAGTTATTTAAACAATTCTAAATGACAGTGTGATGGCCATAGTACTTTATGTGGGCCAAATGTTAAGGATAATGTTTATCAATATAAAATTGCAAAGAACTTTTGAATAGGATACAACATTCTTGTAAACTAGTTACCTCAGAACGCTGATACTCTCAGATCGTACTGTAGTATGTAATGTAAAACTTTCCACAGTACCTTCCACTTAAGTAACTAAACACATAAAGTCACTCCTTACCAATAATCCGCTGCTCCTTGAAAAAGTAGCACAAACAGACAACTGAATCAGCAATGATAAGTAGAGCTACCCGAGGCCGATACTAAGCAGAAGAAAATAAAAAGTTGTTGTTTTTGTGGCTCAATAAATTAAAGGAAAGTATGTTTAATAATTCACATAGACCGCACCTTCAACACATCGTACATTCAAATTTTGGAACAGGCTCAACATTGCTGTTGTTCAATAGTTTTTATCCGTTCAAAGTTCATTTTACGGCTTTAATGTTTCCAGCTGATAAGGAGAATGTAGTGCATTTCAAATGGGTCCAAAGGCTTTAAACATTCTTGTCTGTAAACAACCTACAGAGCATTGTTTTTACTAAAATTCAACATTTTCAGATGAAAATTTGGCTGCTTTTTTTCTTTCACTGTAACACACTCCTCAATGTCATTTTTAGTGATATTCTTGGAGATTCCATTTTTTATATTTATGCTTTTGGATGAGGGTATCTAAATACACACGTTGTCATTGTGTTTTGTACTACCAGCTGTGAGCTCTGCTTTTCTTTGAGCAGTCTGGTTTTTTTTTGTCTCGCGAGTGTGTGTTTTTCAAACCAGATCGTCAGTTTGATTTTGTTACCACAAACTTTGTGTGAAGTTCACAACAGAGGTAAAGAGATTTAAACACACCAGTTTAGAGGAGGCAGGGGTTGGACCAGCTGCACAGGACAGGTGAAGCAGAGAGTGTCGGAGATGTGCAACAGAAGCAGAGGGATTTTTGACAAGATGATAAATGAGACACGTCCGTCAGAGTTCAACAACATTACAGTTTGATTAAATAAAAGTTTTTAAACTACACAGGGTTATTTTCTCCTCAGATAGTAATCATATTAACATGTCATGAGAAAGCAGAGTATAAGAAAAATAGTAAACGTGTGTCTAATTAAACTTTCCTGTGAACCTTAATCATCCTTTAATATGTTATGTGTTACAAACTTGAAGAAGCACAGAAAAGATCATCAGACACTTAATCTAATCAGTTTTCAGCTTCATTCATATTGAAATGTTGAAATCTTCCCTGCTAGACCCAAGTGCAGCGTTTAACACCGTTGGCCATAACATTTTATTACAGCTATTATTAAATGGAGAGTCCTCTTCACACACTGAGGTTAATTATGAAGCTCCACAGGCTTCTGTGCAAAGACCAGTTCTGTTTACATTATACGTGCTTTAGAAGGCATAGCATACATTTTCACTGCTATGCATATGATACCCGCTTTTAAACTGTTGGGACGTCTTAGATACATGGGCTTTAATTTTCTGCCTCTAATTTCAGATAAAACTGAGGTTATTGTAACAGGGCATAAAAATCTTAGAAACACTGTCTAACAAGATCCTTATTCTGGACGGCATTGTCTTGAGCCGTCTGTTGTAGTGATTTGGCACATTATAAGTAAAATTGAAGCACACAATCCTGTCGCACAACATCAACATTTATTTATATACAAAAATAAAATGCTTTTTTACAGAAAAGAATTGTAACTTTACAATTCATCACCAATTACGTGGGTACATAGGGTAAGTCCTCATCCTTATCCCATAGTGATTGAGGTCATTCCTCAGGGCCTGGGAAGGGTGGCCATATCAGGATACATGTTTTAAAAATGCGCTAAATTCATCGATACTGTGAAAACCGCGGTGTATCATCTTGTCAACCTAGTAATCAACAAGTACCTCACTGACGAATGCAACGGCTGTAAGTCCGATCACCCCAATGCTTTTAAAAATGTGGTAAAATGCAGAGTACACATTTTAAGAAAGAAAAATCAGGATACATGTTCAAAGAAAATATTAGCAGACTCCTTTGTAACACTCTGCGACCAACCGTAGCTGTCCGATTTTCACCATTTCCAACCCTACCAGATTGGCGTATGCCTCAGCGATGGCATCAAAGACTTTCCTTACCGATTTCAGCTCGTGCAAGAGAGTGTCCGCCAACATGCGGACTTTGACGTTGTCCATTTTGATGTTGTGGGTAATCAGCAGACGTTGAATGGAAGGAATGAAACGGGGGTTGAGGAGTCTTTTTCTGATGATGTGATAATTTTCAGCGTAGAAGTCATCCTCCAACACTTGCACACACTCGTGCTGTTTCTGGTTGGGGTGATCGGACTTACAGCCATTGCATTCGTCAGTGAGGTACTTGTTGATTACTAGGTTGACAAGTTGATACACCGCGGTTTTCACAGTATCGATGAATAAAGAAGATGCCCAACCATCAAGCTCGTCGGCTTGCTGCTGCTGCTTCTCCAAGGGGCGATAGTAACCGGGGGTGTCAGGTACTATTGTGCTCTCGTCCGCGGAGCTGTCCTCCTCCTCAGTGTGATGCAGGGCTGCAGAGTCCATCCTTCTCTCAGGTTTTGAAGGAATGAGACGGCAGTCTTGTTTTAAAATTACAGAAGGGGGGCGTGAACTGGAAGTGGGTTGATGTTAGAGGGCAGGTGGGAGTGGCAGCGATTTTCAAAGACCGTAGAGTTGGCCACGGCGTCTCTTCAGCAGCTGCAACTTTGGAAAAGAACGGTAATGTCCTTTCTTATCTGTTGGGGTTGAATTTCTCCATGAAAATGACATCTTCCACCCCTTCTGCTCAATCAACCAACAAAGTGGCAGAACTTGGTACAAGCAGCACCGCCAAGAGTAACAGATATGACTGTATCAGGGACGCTGGGCAATCTTTAGTCTCTGAAGATCCAGCCACAAACCCTACATTTGAAGATTGCAGTGAAGAGGCTCTGT